AAACCAGATGAAGAAAAAAGCATTTGAAATGAATTCTCAGAAATAAAGTAATAAAAGAAGCACGAGAGAAGAATTGAATTTAAAACTTCGTTAAGACGGAGAGACAAACACATGACGATGACAGAAGCAACATTTATGCACATCAAATTCAAACTCATATGAACCGATTTTCACAAGATAAGAGACAAACCTGAGACTGGGAACATCCTTGGATGACAATCCCGATGTAATTGGGATCCAAGATGTTCATGATTGGTTACAACGCATCACCCTTGCGCGAAGACTTTCCTCATAGTGAACGTAAGGACCTCGAGAGAAGTCCTTATTTCAATTTCTATCCATTTTATTGCATCAACCGCGCTCTCGTTGAAGAATTGATTTCTTGAGTGGCACCGAACCATCCATTAGTCTGATTTCGGCTCTCGTTATCGACAGCATCAACTATCTGGAAGGAAGATGATCCTGAAACGCAAGTCCCAATCATGCAGTTTGTTCATGCAATTTTAAGGGAACTGTTTAAAATAGAGAACAGCAATGTGCACTCTTCATCAAAGTGGGTTCAAATGTATTCGAAAGAATTTATCAGGAGGCCTGATCACGAAATGGCACATTCTCGGAAGAAGCTGAATATCAAACTAGGGCGAGTAGTTGAATAGATTCTGATGGAGGACCGAAAGTCTGAATTAACAATCAGGTGCAGGCACAATGTTGCGGTTCGTTCGTGCGCCGAAATTCACGCGCGGGTTTTGCGGACTCGGACAATTTGAGCGTCTCCGGGTTGCGGATGAAGCGCCAGCTGTCGTTGTATCAGAAGCGAATCAAATCCACTTCAATCTCGCGCTCGAATCTTATTTAATGGATGTCGTCAAACCGAAGGTCCCCGTATTTTTCTGGTGGAGGAACGATAAGAATGTAGTGATCGGGCGAAATCAGAATCCGTGGAAAGAATGCAACACTGGAAGAATGGAAGAAGATGGAATTGATTTGGCACGACGCTTCAGTGGCGGTGGCGCAGTTTATCAAGACTTGGGAAATTCTTGTTTCAGTTTTTTAGTCCCAGAATCAAAGTTCAAGAAATCATTAAATAACGATATCATGTTAAAAGTTTTGCGGGAGCATTTTGGATTGATTGGAGAAGCTAGTGGCCGAAATGATTTGATGATAGAAGGAAAAAAAGTAAGAAAGTAGAAATGTGTACCAGCTCTTACAAAAGATTGTTGTAATAACGTTTGGAATTGGTTGAATAGAAATGCTTGAATAGAAAATTGGAGGGAAGCGTTGCTTGTGAAAATTGGATGATTGTGAGAGAAGCGTGCTATAGAAAAACTCCCTCTTGAATTTCTCAGTTTTCTGGTGCGGCATTCAAACACATCAAGGATCCTAGGGAGAACGGATTGGGACTCTCACTTCATCATGGGACATTTTTGATGAAGACCGACTTCACAGCGTTGGAAAAATATTTAACTCCAAATAAATTAAAGCTTCAAGCAAAAGGATTGTCGAGCGTGGTTAGTCGTGTTGTTAATTTGAGTGATTTGAACAACAGTATCACGCATGAGAGTTTAACTGCTCCTCTTATTGCTGAGTTTTACAAACAGTACAACGATTCGAATGCAGCGTTGCGCGACCCTGAGGTAAGCCTAGTTGGGATAGTTGGGAATCCACCTGTTTGGGATGGTTGCAGTTGGAAATCCACCTAGTTGGGATAGTTGTGAATTCACCCGAGTTAATCTCTATAATTGTCTGCAGATCGTGACAAAATCATCCGAATTCACTTCTGACCCGAAATTCCAGAAACTTCTCGCTCAACTGAAGGACTGGGACTGGCGATTTGGCAAAACTCCTCAATTTACTCATTTACTCGAGAAGCGATTTGATTGGGGAACAATTGAAGTAAATCTGGATGTCCATGATGGAATGATTCATGACGCGAAGATCTTCACTGATTGTTTGATTCCCGATTTAATCCCGCTTTGGGAAAGTTCTTTGCGAGGTAGGATGATTTGAAAGATAAATGATTTGTAAGATATCTTTTTGTAAGATATCTTTTTGTAAGAGTCTCCTGTTTGTTTTTGTGTCTATTGATTTATGTCTCGATTTCAGGACATCCTTATTCGGTCGATGGCGTTAGTGAGAGTCTTCAGTCAATTCCCATAGATCCTGAAAATTTGCATATTTGTGATGAATTTTGTAATTGGGTCACCCATGAAATGAAATCATGAATGTCCGTCGCCAAATTGGTGGGATGAACTGCTTTGTTTGAGACGAAGTAAAGGATCCCAAGAGAGACGGGTTTGGGATTTGGGGAAAGAGAGAAAAGGGGTTGCCCGTGACTCGCGTTGCTACCATAGTTATCATTTTAGTTCTAAAGACTTTGATTTTCATAGAAAATTAAAATTTCACAGAAAATCAAGGTTCTTAGCATTTTGATTTAAGAAAAAAAAACAAAGAGAAAAAACATTCATCAAAGATGAACGATAAAATTCTCAACCTGGCAACCAAAAATCGTTATCAACAAACAGATAAAAAAAATGAGAAGTCTGATCATAAAAACGAACGACACCCAAAACTGGAAGAAAGATGTGTGACTTCAACTAGAAGAAGCGAAAGACTGCGGCTTCATCCAATCGAAATGGATGGCTGGGTGATGGAATTAGAATAAAAGTCGAAGCTAAAGCAAAAGTTGGAAACGATGAAAGTCTAACGATCGAACCAACTCTGTAAATCAAGAATATGTCCAATGCAGCGAATGATAGAATAGATATATAGTCTGAAGAGAGAATAGACCATCATCAGATATATTCTGAAGAAAGAATAGACAAGGAAGTCTATGCTGCGCTAGGACAGAATGCTTCGCCAATGACCCACATTTAGTACACGAAATGGAAAAAGTTTAGATGGGATGAATGACACAGAATAAAGAAAGACAAAATTTGAAGAGTAGACATCAACAAAATGAGAAATGATTATGTATCCATTTGGACAATGACGATGAGTGATGAATAAGATGAGGATGATACATCTCACAGCACTCGTTAATTGCAACAGAGAATAATATTAGGGATTGTATTATCCATGATCCTAATTCAGAGTTTCCAATAATGTGGTCATCATGCTCTCGACATCCCGATCTAGCAACGCCGATGAATTGAGTAATCCGAAAGATTGAGAACTCAAAGCAAATTGTTCTGCCAAGGAAGCCAGTGAGCCCGATTGTGAGGCTTCAGTTGGCGCTTGGGAGTTGCTTCGTTCTTGAGCCGGGCGGTGAGTAGCGGGACAGTCTGGCACGCTTTGCGCGAACATGTGAAGCGTTTGCTCTGGAGTCAATGGCGACGACGTTGACGGCGCTGCTGTCGAGGCCGAAGACGTGACGGAATCCCCGGAACACTTATGACACGACTGCGGAGTTCGATTATTTTCAGCAAAGTGGCGGAGCAAACGTTGCTTGAGTAATTCTGCTTTTTCTGCCTCTAATTCTTGAAGACGTCGCGCGACGTCATCATCTGGATATCCCGAGGGAGTCATATGGGACAGAAGATCATTCACTTGAACGGAAGTCCATTGGGGTGTGGATGGTGACGCACCAAGCAGCATGTGTGCAAGGATTTCGGTCGATGTATCCCGCCCATATGAAAGAGGTCCTGTCCCAACTTGTGGTGCTCCAAAAAGAAAGGCTGGCGCTCCTGGATTAAAGAAGGATGAGTGTTCTTGTCTCGAGATATCAGAAAGAAGCGCATTCAAGGGTGGAGGCGGAGGTGGCGGAATCGTTTGGGACTTCGCTGTCCCAACCTCGCAGACGCTGTGAGCAAAATAGCAGTCAGCGCCCCGAATGCATTTCCCTGACTCTTGATAATATTTACACAACTTCTTCTTATAAAACTGGTCGACTCGACGGAGCTCTTGCTCCCCATGAGCTCGAGTACAAGCGGTGTCTTTGCACAGGCCCTTTTGAAACAGTCGACACAATTTAGTTTTTTCAAAATTGGGAGAAGGGCGGAGTTCCTCAGGGAGAATCTAAAACAAAGTAGAAAAACCAGAAGGTTACACGGAGGAGCAACATAAACAACAGCCCAATAGATTTAAAAAGAAACGAGAAAAAATTGACGGAGCGTGAAAATGAACCGTTTAGACTCACGGGCGTGAAGGCAAGAACTTCCATGTCTACAATTTCCCGCAATCTCATAATTGCACAATTTTGTCTGGAATCAAGAATGGTAAAGTAAAATAAAACGCCTTCGGCTTACTTTGTACAAAACGTTCGTCATCTTTCCAACAAGAAAACCCAAACAACACAAATCGGAACCTTTCACGAAAAACTTCGATCAGCTTTCTGTGGCGCATGCACCAATTGCCAGATCCAATGCCTGTTCATGTTGTGTTGCGGTTGAAAGGCAAGGGTGTTGTGGTCTCCACTGTTACTTCAAACACTTTTATAGAAATGGGTTGCAACATTTTAAGTTCTCAGTATCAAAGGGACATTTTTGTGAAGACCCCGCCGTTCAGTCAATTTTTTAAAAGAACAAATCAAACTGATTCGCCCTGTGATCTGATTATTCAAATCAGTCCTACCAATACAGTTTGTTACATTCAGTTGGTTGATGAGAAAAGTTCTCTTGTGATTGCGAAGCCCATCAGTTCTTTGTTGAGATCTGAAAGCAAAATCGCGCAATTTTTAGCAGAAAACGATGAAAGCAATCCTCCTGAATTGAGACTCAAATGGAAGTCAATTCTATTGTCCCACTTACGACAGGAGGGATTGAACGATCTTCCTCATGGGATCCCTTCTGAGGTATTGTTCTTGGTGTGGCTGATCGTAGGATCCTTCCTGTCTCAGAGCGTTTTAGTGTCCCAATTATCGACCTGCTTTGATAAGAATCTGCTGAGATCGGCACTCGATCTAAACCCACTGCCACGCGCGATTGATGAAACGTCTTTGGGACAAATTGTTGCCGCCTCGATCTCATTCACTTCGAGGCAGGAAATTTCGTTTTTATTGAATTTGATTGGATTCGTACAAACAATTGCTGATTTGATTTTCGATCAGTCGCCATTTGATGGAAGCGATAGTCCAACCCCATTAAATGCCTTGGAGGGGAATTGGGAAAGAGTGAGAGACACTCGCTGCGATCATGTTACCCTCTATGGGTTGCTGAAATTACTCGAGTTGTGTTACGAATATGTTTTGATTATTTTAAGGGGTGAGTGGCGGGCCTCAGATGTGAAATAAGGACATCAAGCTTCTGTAGGAGTGAAAAACGTTCTTGGGAAGCAAAAGTCTTACCAATCTGGAACGAGAGGGATGGATGATGTGGACGCAGAGGGAAATTCAAGTTTAGAAGAACTTGTTCAAATAATCAACGCAGCAGGTTCGGATCTTTTGCTTAACTCGACAACAATTCGAATTGTGACTCTTAAATCGGTCTTCAAAGTTTTGGGCAGATTAAGCATGGCACTCTCTTACGTAAGTCTTAGACAAGGAATTCAAAACCGTTTGGTGGTAACTAATTCTTTGGTGATAAAAAAAAAACATTTCCTAATACAATGATATGGTGGTAATACCCTGGTGGTAAAGAAAGTAAAAGCTCTTTGGTTCTGCCAGATGGGGGAGGAGTTACTTCAACTTCCAGCGTCTCTTTATTGCAAAAGTACTCGTGAATCGAAACGGTCATTGTTGGTCGATTATCGTGATTCTTTGTGCAAATCATTAGAAGAATTTCCAACTGATTTGCAGAAATTCGACGAGAGTCTTCCTCCCGATTTATCCGTGCGTCTTCTAGTTGCAGCGGAATGCTTAGGTGAGAGATGTTTGTTTCGTCTGGGATCCTTCTTTGCCTCCTTTCAACAAAAGTTATCTTTTTCACCACCCCCCAAATTATCTTTCATAAATTCCATCAGATATGATGCAATTAGCGGAATGGATCCTTCCAATTGTGGCGCGAAATACAATCCAACATCTTCAAAAAATCAACCCTTCAAATTCAGGATTGTATTTATTTGATTCCCCTAAGAGTTTCGCGACTCCATCGACTTCTCGATTTCGCTGCTGCGTCGGAATCGATTCCTCTATTCAAAAGAGTGCCGAACCTGCAACGGTTGAGCTGCTCGAGCAGCGGGGGCATTCAATCCAACTCTGAATTTTCTGTTCTTTCGAACTCATCGACACGCTCGACAAACGTTGACTTAAGTGAACAGCATCGTTTCAGAAAAGACTTCAGGATCCCTGCTGGAAAGACAGACTTCAGAAGTGGACCTCGACAAGATCAAAAGCGTTCCATTCCGACTCGCCATTCTTCAACCAAACCAGGTTTGCGAACGATCCGATGTCTTAACGACATGCATGCGCTCATTGTGTTACAGAAGGGAGAGACGTTAGAGATCATGGAAACGGATGCGTCGGACTGCGGCAGTTGAAACATGATGGACGCGTCGAAAGGCTTTCCAATCGATGTGAAGGACTTGATCTGGTGAAGCGTATTGATGCGAAAATTGAGAAGGAATTTGCGGTCGGCGGAAGGAAACCATTTGGACGCAGCGGAGATCAACAACCAGTTTGCTCTGGTGCTGTAGCGAAAAAGTTGTTGGGACGTGGAGCACCTGAGTCCCGACTGTCGCATGTTGGTGGGGCGAGAAGCAGATCGAAAAGAGTGTTGGAGGGATGAATGAGACTGATTGGCGTGTTGAACAGAAATTACGGAGAAAACGGAGTCCGATGAAGAAAATGGAAATAAAGAAAATGGAGAAAGTTGAAGTTAAAAAATAGAAAAAGTTGAAATGAAGAAGATGGAGACGGTGGATGCTGTAAAGGGACAGTTGACACAACAGAAATTGATCTCGATTAATCTAGTCCAAGTTCTTGCACAAAAGTTGAAGGAATTCATAAGAAGGAAACGCTAGCGCGTCAAGAGGAGAAGACCGATTCCATTTGCAAGGCAGTCGATGCGACGAGGGAATATTTGGGACTCAGAAGACAATAAAAGAATAGCGGAAGAGGTGCCTGCTGTGAAGAAAGAAAGAGATCAAACAATTCATGACGAGGTTGTTGCTATCTTGAGAGGGTTGGGGGCTTGGAAGACGTTAGATCCCAAGGAGAGGAAAGAGGGGAACACTTCCACGCACAACTCAGATTCTTTGACTTCAGTCCAATCAACCAGTAGTTGTGGTGCCCGATCCACTTCCGCCTTCCTACCGAAACCGATTTGTTTGCACGACCGAAACAGACAAG